TGCTGAATGTTAGCTGTACTCTCCTCTGTAAATACACATCTCTCCTGCAAACAGAGGAAATTCCTCTGCAAAGACCAAGGGAAGGCAGAGTCATTGAACTTTTCCTAATGGTTAGGTCAGTGCAGAAGAGACTTTTTAAAAACGACTTTTTGTAGAGTAGTGTCTCTCAAACTTGGCCACTTGAAGATGTGTGGACTTCAACTCCCAGAATTCCCCGGCCAGCCATGCTGGCTGGGGAATTCTGGAAGTTGAAGTCCACACATCTTCAAGTGGCCAAGTTTGAGAGACACTACTCTACAAAAAGTCGTTTTTAAAAAGTCTCTTCTGCACTGACCTAACCATTAGGAAAAGTTCAATGACTCTGCCTTCCCTTGGTCTTTGCAGAGGAATTTCCTCTGTTTGCAGGAGAGATGTGTATTTACAGAGGAGAGTACAGCTAACATTCAGCAGAACAGCTAAGAGTCATAAATATCTCACTAGAAGGCTTCATTGGGAACTTTACACAACGTCCAGCCACCTGTGCTTTTTTCTACCCCCTAAGGCAAACCATCTTGGCTTGATTGATTTCCTCATTTCAAAGAGCTGAAACCTGGGGCACAATGTTTCTGAAACCACTTTCCTCCAAGTTGACAAGAACATCCTTGGGTCACCGTCTACAGATCCGTGTGTGAAAATTGCATTGCCAGTGAATTCTCCTGGCTAAGATATGGGATAAAGAAGCTGTTTGATGGAGGGCCATCATGCCTTGCAGACAAGAGTTCTAGAAACGGTTTTTTTCCCACCCCAAGTACCTGGCATTTGAGATCTGCAATTGGACCCTGGAGATTTTCCATGTGCAAAGTGGGTTCTCTGTTCCTGAGCTAAGTTGTCTGTCATCTAACCAGAGCAACCTGAATTGCTCACTCCCAAATCTAACTTTGTATCATTTTAAACTTAGGGAAAAATCTACCTAGAGTTGCAGATGGTTCAGTGGGAATTTGCAGATCACTTTGATTATTCATACAATCATAGACTCCTTCAGCTGGGAGGGGCCATTTCGATCCTGAAGTTCCCTCCCCCTTGATCCGTGGAGGAAGCCACGTTAAAACATTCCTGACCATGTTTTGTTTTAGCTTCTGCTGGTATGTCTCTAACAAAGTGCAGCTCATCATCTCTCTGGGTCGTCGGTTCCTCTGTCCAAGTGTTCTTACTGTTAGGAAATCTGTATCGAGTTGGAAAAGAAATAATAACTCCATTGTTTTGCTCCCTCACAGGGACTGTCACATTTCCTTGTGGAAGAAAGACACTCATAAAAGAGGTTTTGGATGAGATGATCGTTAGTATGGGCAGGTTGGCTAAATTCCTCAAAGGCTCGACCAAATGTCCACATTTTACATTTTCATCTTGTAAGACCACTGTTGAAGTGTAGAGATATGAGGAGAAGCCACTCTTCTCGGTTCTGGGTCTAACTAAGGACTATAAGAGTTGAAGACAAAGCCTCTCCCTCCCCCCCTCCCTGGTGGTTGGTTTATTTGAGGCCTAATGAAAAGAAATTCAAAATAGTCTGGAATGAACGGATTAAAAACGTAGGTTCTCCTGGTTTATTTTCACTTGGTAATGGTTATTCTTTGCCTGTCCAACATTATCATTGTCCCTTCACCCAGGACCAGTCAGAAGAATTCTCCTTAAGACTTGGCTTGAACTAACCAAGGTGCTTCTGTGTTTGCTTCACATAACCCACCACGTTATTGGAACTGCGTCCTGAAAAACAATGATGGAAAAGCAAGCAGTAAAAATAGCATACCTAACAATTTTGAGATTTTTAGGAAATGACAAGATGAACTAACTCCATTCCACTAATACAACCTCACTTCCTGTCCTATTTTCAATCATAGTGGCTGTTGTTTCCAGATCTTTTCCCCAAACCTATTCCTATAGTTCTGCATAGACCTGCCTCTTCAGCCCAAATATCTATCTCCTGTTTACTATGTTAAAAAGGAAATAGATGGAATGCTGAAGGACAATTTATATAACAACCTTTCTAGATCAGAGTTCTTCAAATTGGTACCCCCCACCCCACCCCACCAGAGATATGATTTAACCATGGCCTCAATTTGAGTGCTGAAGCTTACCAAAATACTCCTTGTAGTATTTGGGTCTTAGATTCCACCCATCTGGAGAAGGAAAGAGAAATAAAAGTTTAGTGAAGCTGAATCATCTTCCAAATGGCCATGTTGCACAGGTAGCAAGCATGGTGAACATTCTTTTCTTGGTGTTGCAAATCTCTTCAGAAAGGAAATGACAAGTTCT